CGGCGCCGCGGCCGACGAGCTCGGCGACGGCCTTGGCGTGGTTGTTGCGCGCGGCGAGGTGCAGTGCGGTGCACTGGTTGATGCCGACGCCGTTGATGTCAATGACGTTGTCCCGCAGCAAGGTCGAGATCAGGTGGAAGTTGCCGACTTCGGCCGCGTCAAACAGCTGGATTTGCTTTTTGCGCAGGTCGCGAAGGTCCAGCATCTGCTTGGGTGCGCCGACAATCGAGCCGACACGCGGCAAACTGCGGTTGGACCCGAGACCCGAGCTGCCGACGAGCGTGTCGCGGGCTTGCTGCAGCGTCGCCTGGCCGTTGCTCGTCTCGAGTTCGTGGATGACTAGACACATATGAGAGGCAGAAAACGGGCAGGCAAAAGCGTACTCTGATCCTTGAGCATGAGTTGCTCGCGCAGCTGCCGGTTCTCTTCGAGGAGCTGCTTGATGACAACGTCCTTCGGGTCCGTCGAGGCTTCGGCGCCGCGCACAATGTCGTGGTTCTCGAGCAAGCTCGGGCGCGTGTAGTCCTGGTCGTTGGCTTTGGCGCCGCCCATTGTGGCGGCCGACGACGCAAACACCGACGCCTCAAACTGCGCGGGCGTCGGCTTGGACTCGTCGCTGCTGCCGCTCTTGCGGAAACGCTGCTGCTGCAGCGCCGTCACGTGCGCGCGGATCATCTTGATCCAGTCCTCGCACTCCTTGGCCGTGTTGGCCTGGGCAAACATGCGCTTGTCGCCCGTGTTGATCTCAAAGCAGTTGGCCTTGTTGTCAATGTTGGACTTCTTCACGACCGTGTCGGGGGAGAGCTCGAGCTGGCCCTTAAAGTGCGCAAGGTCCTGCTCCTCCTCCTTCTTCTTCGAGAAGAAGCCGCCGCCGACCTTGTAGTAGCACAGCTTGGCTTCGGCGAGCACGAAGAAGCGCTCTCGCCAGTTGGCCAAGGCGTCAATGGAGCCGATCGACCGCTTTGTGAGGTAGCCCGTCTTGGATGAGACAAACTCGCCCGCGCTGGCGGCCGCGCCCGACTGCGTCGTCATGTCATGGCTGTTGCTTCGCCCCTTCCAGGACGAGCTCTTCTGGAAGCGCTGCGACGCGCCGGTGAACTCGGAATTGCGCTGCATTTCGCCTACGCATGGGCCATGAGCATGCGCGGGCGGCAGGCGCCTGGGCGTGGTACCGCGACGCTGTACTGCTGCTGCTGCTGCTGCTGTCTCCGGGATACTAACGCCACTAGAGAACAAGCTCCCAACCAACGTCACCCGATTTAGCTTGGTTGTTGTATGCTCCGAAATACTATGTTATAGAGGTTCTGCCACGAAGCCCATACAAACACCAAGTCGCGTCTGGCCCCGCCTTGCCCGATGACCATCCGGATCTTCGGACCTCCACAACTCGATTTTGCACCCGGGCCAGGTCTTTAGGCCGGCGACACGACGCCTGCGACCTGCGACCTGCGTCGGCGTCCGTGGCTCGCGCTGGCCACGCACCCGCCCGCGTCTGCTGGGAGACGAGGCCATTGCGGGGCGGCCATGGGCGAAACGTTGTATTCGTGCTCTTGATACTCAACGCATGTCCCTGCGAATCCAGTTGTGGTCAGCGCGAGGGCCGCTGCCACGTCACGTCAAGGCAGCAGCATGGCATGGACGTGGGCAATCCTACGGCGTGGCGGCCAGGCCCTGCGCCATGCCTGCGCCATGCGGTGGCAGCGGCGACGCGCGCGGAGGCGCGAGTTACATGCGCAAGGACGTCGACTTGGCTGAATTCCAAGCGCGCGACCATGACGCGCTGGTGGCGTTTCATTGGCCGTGTTTTCATGAATTGCTTCGCTTCGATCGAAGCGTCAGCCCTCTTTTATTGGTCGTCGCATACAAACACCAAGTATAATCATAAAAGTTGAAGATCGAAGAAGAGGCAGAGGCAGTTTGCGCGCAACTTCGTTGAACTTCAAGCGCGCTTCGAAGCGTTCGATTGGTGCGCTTTATTTCGGCATACAAACTTCAAGGTACACGGCTGGTGGAATGCTTCGATTACGCAGCAATGGGCAAAAACCCACATTGGATCATCGCCGAGCATGCGCCGAGACGACTGCCGGCCCGCGACCGAGGACGACTTTGTCTACCTCGAGGACGACGACGACGAGGACCCGATCGAAGATGAGCTCCGCATGTGGGCGCGCTTCCGGCGGCGGCGCTTCTTCAAGTCGGGTCTCTCGACCTACGAAGAGTACTACTCGCGCAACGAGACAGGGCGGCGCCTCGGCCGCTTCTCATTGCACATGCGGCTCAACGAAGAGCGCCCGACCATCACGATCCTGCTAGGCAATCGGTCGTCGCGCAGCCGCCCATCGGCCGTGCGGCCCACCACCGAGACACCGCGGCGCGGTCGCAGCAGCAGCCTCGACGCCAATTGGCGCGTCTCCAAGTGCGGTGACGTGGTCCGGCCAAAGCTGCTTGCCGACCCCAACTTTAGCTTTTTCAGCACCGGTCGCTCTCCAACGTGCCACGCCAAGAGCAGACGCGGGAGCCGTCGGGCACGCAGAGTCTTCTTAGCCGGCCCACGAGCATGCCCGACGTGACGATGCCAAGCCCGCCGCAACTGCGGCGCCAATGCAGCTCGCCCGAGGTCTTCTTCGACGCGCAAGAGCCGCCTCTCGAGTACCAGGAAGCCGACACCGTGCGATCGAGCACGCCCGACGAGGATCCTCGTCCGAGCGACTATGGCGAGGGCGACGACGAGCCTTCGCCGCTGTACGGCGACAAGCAAGACGACGCCGGGCGGTTCCGCGCCAGCGACACCTCCTCTCGCCCGAGTGACCTCGACAAGTTTCGGCCCAGTGGCATGCGCGAATCCTCCTTCAGCAGCAACTACAACCCAGTTACGATCCGCAATAGCGTCACCAACAACGTCAACGTCGTCGCGTTCCTCGGTGGCTTCAAGGGCAGTCGGCGCTCGACGCGGTCCTCGCTCGACCAGCGGCCGTCCTTTGACTCGTACCGCATGAAGCGCAGCAAGAAGCCGGTCGCGACCGTGCCCGACACGAGCTTTGGCAAGCGGCTGCGCGACGCTCGCAACCGCATCCCGCCCGAGTTCCGCGACGACCTCCCGATCGCGCCGATCCTTGTCGCCAAGCCCATGCGGATCAAAAAGTCGGTCCAGTTCCGGCCCGAGAACGACGTCTTTGTCTTTGAGAAGCAAGACCCGATCGAGGACGACGACGACGACGTGTACGTTGTCGAGCTCGAGCACGATCTCTAGCACAACTGATTGTATCTCTGCCCCATGTATTTAATATGTAGTCAAGTTCGTGTCACTTCATGTAGTCGACGTCCATCGGCTAATGCAAGTTGGAAAAGTCGATCCCATCTTCGTCTTCGTTGGCACTCGTCGCGGCCACGGGGCGCAGCTCGTCGCCGTGCGCTGCCTCGGGCGCGGAAGTTGCCTTGGGCGCCATGTCTGCCGGCGTCATGTGCGTCAAGAATGGCACGAGGTACTTGGCGTCGAACTCGAGGATCGCCATGCGCTTGAGCGGGCGCACGAGCTGGTCAACCGCGGCTTCTTCGGACGGCTAGTCCAGTTCCATCAGCATACTGCAGTAAGAATTGGGGTACCGAGAGGCGCTTGATTTGAAGGTAGTTAAGCACGGGCACGGTGCCGCCGCCGCCAATGAAGAGCGTGATGAGTACGATGACCATGGTCACGTTGATGATGTACTACTCGGTGATGAGCCACATGGAAACGATGCACGGGAAAGCGTACGTGGCGCTGCAGCTCGTTGGGCCACTCGAGCGCGAGCGCAAAGCAGAGCGCGCCGCGGAGACCACTGAACCAGAGCATGTGCTGCGTGGCCTTGGGGATCTGGCGCTCGGGCGTCTTGCGGCTGTTGATGGCGTACGAGAGCGGGTACACGTGCAGCGCGCGGCCGGCAAGGCAGCCAAAGAGCGTCCAGAACGCAAACGAAAAGTGAAAGCCTTGCTGCATCGAAAACACCGCGAGGCCCAAGTCTACGTAAGGTGTCGAGGTCTTATTTTCGATGCATGCGTTGGTCGTCGTACTGAGGAAGATGGTGGCTTCCGAGAGGTACGAGATCGCGTTGAAGAACTTGGCGCAGCTACTCATCGATTCACCAAGAGCGCATGATGGACGATCGTACGTGGCTTTGCCTTCTTCAGTGAGGTTGTTGCATGTGTAGTGCTTCATGGCAATGCCTACGCGCCGCATCCGAATCCGTGTTCTGCACGACGACGACGACGATGGGAATGTACCGGTAAAGAGGATCGCGACGACGCCCGAGAGGTCAAAGACGTTGCAGACGGAGAACGGGAGGTACGAAAACATGACGTAGACAGCGACCTCGTGGAAGAGGCAGCCTTTGAAGTCGTAGTGCTTGAAGAGCAGCGCCGAGAGCATGCCAAAGAGGATCCCAACGAGCGTCGAGCCGACAAAGATGAAGATAAAGTCCATGATCGCCAGCGGAATCGCGCTCGCCGTGAACGCGTTGCCGATAAACTTGGAGAAGGACGCGAAGAGCACGATCGCGACCGCGTCGTTGAGCGAGCTTTCGCCAAAGACGAGGTAGAAGAGCGTCGGTTCCTACAAAACGAGACGGCGATCCGTGGGTGGCAGGGAAGGACATGGAATATACGTACGACGCGGAGCTCTTGAAAGATGGCGAGGACTGAGACCGTGTCCTAAACGCACCCTCAGAGGATCGGTTGAGACATGGACAGCAACGGTACCGTGGCGGAAATGAGCGCGCCGAACGAGAGCGCCTCGGCCAGCGTGAGCTTGAGGCTAATACCAATGTACCCGGCCGTGTACACGATCGAGCCGACGACAATGCTCGAGATGGTCGTGCCCGCGACGGCGTACGTGACGATGGCGGTGATGTTGTCAAAGAAGAAGCGGCGCTTCATCGTGTAGCCTACATACATGTCCTGCCTCTTGCCTCTCGGTCGACGCAGTACCCGAGTTGAAGATAATGGGCGGAAGAAGACCCACAAAGAAGATGCTCGGGTCAAAGGTCGCGAGCTGCATCATGTGCCGCATGAGCACGATCGAATATGGAAGCGTTGTGCGTACCGACTGCGTGACGGAGCTCGTGTGCATGAGGTAGAGCACGCCGCCGAGCATGCCCACAAGAATGGTCGCTAGGCGCAGACGTCATGCCATGGTGGTCGGTCGGTGCATGTACCGGCGGCTTCGGGGAGGAGGAACCAGTGCTTGTGGTGGGCGACGTAGTTGCTGACGAGGATCGCGAGCATGACGAAGCAGCTCGTGATCGCGAAGTAGACGGCGAACTCCTTCTGCGACTCCATGCCGATCTCATGCTCCGTCGTCGCTTCGCCCATATCTTCCCGTCGACGCTTCCAATCCAAGACTGAAACCGAAGGGTTTGTTTCACACTATTTCATGCGCGCCTGTTGGCATGCACGGCAATAGCGTACATCTCTAATCGTGTGACAATTTAGTCTAAATAGTGTGCATCAAAATCGGATCTGCAGTGGATCGCGTGTCTGCATGCTTGTGGCAGTCCTCATACCGGTACTGCGGCAGTGCTTGAGCCAGAGTAGAGACACAGCTTAGCGAGGCCAGGACACCACTAAAATTGCCGTCGAGCGATCGGCCTGCCTCCAGCTCCAAGAGTCAGTTCTGCGTTGCCGAAATGAGTCGCATCACGAAGATAGCCCACTTGTTGCTGTGCGGGAGTCCGCCTCCCTCCGTCTGGCGTTGAGCAGTAGGCACCGAGTACCGGTACGTACCCTGTCGAGCACCGGACGGAGGACCGGACAAAAAGTGAGTCGATCCTATACTCATACTAATAGTATGGTAGAGAGACCTAAGAACTGATGGCTCGCGCCCGGTCAGCCCCATTGCTTTCTGGTTGGACGATCCACTTGATAGATCGATACAGACCCGATCGCCAAGTCCCAGCCTCGTTGCAGTGCTCCATTGTACGCAGCGTTGACTGAGAGAGTGCGGTGGTGGAGTTATATTATGGGCTATCAGTAGGTGTCTATTCGGTCTCGAAAATCTGCGCGAGCTCCTTGAGCGCGGCAAAGAGGTCGGCTGCAAACGCGTGCGACGACGTGCCTTCCGCCGACTTGTTGCTCGAGATGTGGAAGAAGAGGTTCGAGTCGCCGGCAATCATGTAGCTGACGCCGTAGCCGTCGGTCGCGACGGGGCCAAAGCCGCCGCCCGGGCACACCATGCCGTCATACTCCGCCTTGCTCAAGAGCTTGGCGACATCCTTCCAGTTGTCCGTCTGCTGCTGCGGCTGCTGGCTCGTGCTGAGACGCCACGGACGCTGGAGCGCCTGCTTGAGGAACGGCGACTCGATGCCCATGCCGACCGAGACGCAGTAGAGCGTAAAGAGGTGGCGGTCGACACCCTCGCCGCACATGGCGCGGCGATACAGGTCCTGGTGGGCCTCGCCCGCCGCGTACGCCAGCGCCCGGCGCTCCGCGTTCGTCTTGGTCTCGTCGACAAGCGATAGGATAAAGGCCTTGGACGCGTCCGTGACGGGGCGGACCGTCTCGGTGCGGCCGTGCTTGTACAGGCGCGTCATGCTCGCCTCGTACGTCTGCGTAAACGTCCCGTGCGAGTTCTTGTAGTACGCGTACTGGAGCGCCATCTGCATGAACGCGTCCGGGCTCATCTTGAACTTCTTCGTGATCGCAATCTTGCCATAGTCCGTGTGGCTAATGACCGCGTGGTCAAACGTGGCAATCGCCGCCTGTGCAATCGCGAGCTCGGTCTGCACGGCGGCATCGAGCGCCGGCGTCCAGTCCCACTGGAGCACCTTGACGGCCGGGAGCGTCGCCACGTCCGCGTCCGACGCCTTGCAGTGGCCATCCGCGTTGTACATTTGGTCGAGGACTTCGCGCGTGCACGACTCTTCCCAGAGGTGCGCGACGACCGGCGCATCGGCCCACGCGTGCTCGACGTTCATGCCAATGCGGCCGTTGGCAAAGGCGACCATCGTGAGCGACTTGTCAAACCAGCGTGACGCGCCGTCGCCGTGGATGAGCGACCGGCCAAGCGCCTCCATCTCGTTGGGCGTGCCCTCGTCAAAGTACAAGACGAGGATCGCCGACTCGATCACGTGCAGCGACTTCTTGTTGACGCCGTCCGAGAAGTGCGTGTCGCGGAGCTCGGCCCACGTTGTGCGGTTGGCGGCCGTGAGCGCCGACAAGTGGGCTTCCGGCACCGTCGACGACGCCGCGGCGACGACGGCCGCGAGCTGGCGCTCCATGTCGCGCGCCGAGAGGAGCTGGCCGTACGTGCCCTTGGTGTAGAGAGGGACCTTGAACCAGCGGCCCTTGCAGTTGACTGCAATGTGCTTGGACGACTCGTAGCGCGCGAGCGTGTCCTCTTCGCGGCCCGGCAGACGCGTCGTCGAGAAGATGCGCTCGTACTGCGCCATGCACATGGGCACGATGCCGCGGAGCATGAGCGGCGGGAGCTGCTCGCGGTCGAGGTTCATCTTGAACGTGAGGAGCTGGCGAAGCATGCCGGCGGCGCGCGCGACGGGCACGGTCGACGGAATGTACTCGCGCGGCGGCAGCACGTAGTAGTTCGAGTTGATCATGAGCGACGTGCGGCCCTTGAGGTACACGTACTTCTCCCACCAGTCGGTGATGTAGTTGTCCGCAAACCAGCTCTTGAGCACGAGGTACTTGTGAAGGCGCGGGCCCACGGTCGCCTCAAAGTCCTTGGCGAGGCCTTCGATCTCCGCATACTCGGTCGCGTCCATGAGCGGATGTACCGACTTGAGGTAGCGCTCGATCGTGCCGCTCAGCGCCGGCACCGACATGCGCGGCAGCGCCGACTGGTACGAGTACGTGAGCGGGTCCTTCCCGCCGAGGAGCTTGACGAGGCCGCCCCAAAGCGTCACGACGTTGCTCACCTGTCGCGGCGCGAGGTACAGCCAGCCGCGGTAGCTCAAGAGCACGCGCAGCACAAGGCGGTGGATACTCATGAGCACGATAAGGCCCGCGAGCGCCGCCCAAGCCGCGAGGTACGCAAGGTACACCGAGTGCGGCATGTAGCTCGAGAAGGGCACGATCGCGTTGCCGACGTGCCAGATGGCCCACGACAGCGTCGAGTCGCGCCACCACGAGGTCGCGGGCGACGCCAGCACGGCGGCAATGACGA